CATATATATTATTTACTTTCAATTTTCTCTGGATTTCTACTCTCCCTCTCCTCGAATGGATTAGATCAGTCTTCTACTTTTTTAACTAATTTGTTACATTTTGGTTTCTATTTTACTTGTAATGAAAATTGGTGAAGAAGATAGGAAGCATATTGAAGTTTGCAGTCTGTGAACAAGCCTTCCGCCAAGCACATCCTTTTTTCATCATTTGGAGAAAGCACTAGACATTTAAGCAAGGTGCACTTTTTTTCTATCATTAACTGTTGTCTCATTCTTTGAATTTGCATGTTACGTTAACAATATATTCCCTCTATTTAGTTTTAATAGATCTAATTTTTGATTTAAGTCATTAGATTTAATTATTTATTTTTTGAGTTATCATTTAATATATTTATTTTTATTTTAACTTTATTTTAAAGAAGATAATTACAGCAAAAAATTTAGGAAAAAAAGTCTATTTAAGTAGTAATTAATTAAGAATAAATATAAATTTTATCACTTAATTATTATATCTTTATTAGATTAAAAAAGTTATGTCTATTAAAATTAAGTAGAGGGAGTAAATATTATTAGTGTTTTTTTTAACGAATTATGTGCTTAAAAATTTGTTTTATATTGTGTGTTTTGGTAACATATTATTATAATTATTAGAAAAATAAAAATAAAAATTTAAAACCATTAAAAGAGTTAACACTTCTTATTGTCACTGTTACTCCCTCCGTCTCAAAATATACCCCACAAAAAAAGTAATGTTTAGGGACGATGAAAATTGTCCCCATAGGCATTAAAATTGAATTGCAAAGGCATTGGGGACAAATTTTTGCATCCCCCATGGTCCTTCTCTAAGGTGTCCTAGCTAAAGGTTTTGGGATGTGATTGTGGTTCCAAAAACCCTTTAGGGACGCTGCATTATTGTATTTTTGGAACGTCTCATGCCCAATACTCTAAGAGACGTATTGTGCCCTAAGAAGACTCTTGGGGACAACACATCTATTGGGGATGTAGCATTCCCAAAACCATTTGGGACGATACATCCCAAAATCTTTTAGGACGACATGTTATTGAAACCTCTGGGGGCAACACATCACAAAAACCTTTAAAGTCTTTGGGGACGCAATATCCCTAAAACCATTAGTGTCGGCATGTCCCATAAAAGCATAGTTTTGGAGACAAATAGTGTCCCCCAGGAATGCAGGCTAGGTACGTTATCATCCTCCATATCTTTGCTTTAGTGAGGTGAACGTCCTTAAAAGCTTACTTTCATTTATTCATCAATTCAATTTTTCATTTAATTTTTTTGATAATTTCTAATTTAATGACAGCAAAGAGAATTTAATAAAAAAATAATTTAATAAAAAATTGTAAGCTTAATTTATGTGTTTAATTAAAGTAGAACAAAAGTTATATAATTGTACTTTAAATATAACAAAGAAGTGCATCAACAACTAAAAATTCTAAAAATGCTAAGAAATGACTAATTTAGATAGTATCTGTATGTAAATGTTTTCCAGCTGCCACTCTTCATCGCAACGTAATACCGCTCGTGTACGTCACATTTCTTCAAATTTTCCAATCATTCTTTGAATTCTTTCATTGCATTGCCTTTTCTTCTCCCTTTCTTCTTCATATGCTTTCAACTTATGCTTCATAATCTCGAGATCGCTCTTCACCGCCACAACTTCTTCTAATCTAATAGCAATTATTGTCAGCTTCTACATATGTAGCATGATCTCCAAATTCATCACTTCTAGGATCAAGAGCATCACTAGCCCAACTAATAAAAACATACAACAAAAATTTAAAAACTCAAATTAGTATTAACTCTTTCTTTTTTCAGAGTGTTAAATGGAAAAGTAATCAAGTGAAAAGAATAAAAAAGACAGCTTACAAAAATAGAGCAAAAAAATTCAATTAATACATCTCAGTTCAAAGGCATCCACGAATTATTTAAGAGCATATGTTAATCAAGTAAAACAATTCCATGGTGGAATCCTATCTATAATTTTGAATTGAAATTAGCCCTACTGTGGAAAAAGAAGCCCCACCAACCCAATCATCAACTTGATAATTTTTATCATCCCACATTTGATCAATGGAGCTAATATAGTAATATTAGTTTAGCACAACAGAAAAATAAGAATTAGAGAAGATAGTTAAACATGCATTTCCCTTAAAACCAACAAACTGTAAAGATTTCACCAGGCGACCGTAAAACTCAGAATTTTTATTAAAAAGACGAGCAGAACTTAAAATGTTTATTACTCCCTAGTTTAATGGCAGAACATATCATAACTACATGTATTGCATACAGACAGCTATATTACATAATAAGGAACTTTCCCCTCAGAGTATTTTATTTCCAGTTCCACGTCATCAGCTACTTATCTCCATCCTTTGCTAACTCAGAACAGAATCATGAGAAATATTTTAGTAGACAAAAATATGGGAAGGGATATGAAAGCAGACGATTGTCTAAAAGTAGTACCTTTCTCGGGAACGACACTTCTGGAAGTATAATGCAGAAAACAGCAAGAAGTTGGAGGGAAAAAAGAAATAAACCCAAATGGGAAGGATGGACTTATAATTGTAAAGTCCCAAATACAAGCCTACAAGCATAACGATGAAGATACAAAAAGGGGTGAAGAGAACTGACCCGTGCATTAAGCTTCAACCACAGGTACCCATAACCACAACTGCTGGCTTTATACGTCCTTTCTGCTTCCTAGCAACTTACCTTACCTAGCATCCCTTAATTACTAATTAAATTAACATTTAGCATATAGAACTCAACTCACAGAACCTTCCAGAGAATAGTACAAAAATGACACTTTTTATTATAAATGAGACAGCGTATTTTAAATGAAATCCATCGCTATGAATTTTCATGAAACCACCCTTTTTTATATTAGCAACCAAATGGCTATCACCCATATTAAACTAATAGCATGGTACCCTGACTATCTAGATGTATCAAGCGATCCTCTTAGGATTATTAATACTAACCAACAATTAGCTGCATTAACAAGGGAATGTTTCTTGATAACAGTAGAAAAGAGAATGATGTAATTGAAGAGCAATATAGTGACTATCAGATTATTATTCATCTTCTATATATATAGATATATAGCTCCAGTATAAAGGAAAAGGATTAGACTACCATTCTAACCTTTGAAGCAAAGGTTCCTTGTGGCCAACCAAGAAGCTCAGCCATCATTTACTCTGTCTGATTGCAATCATCATCAATTGCTTACACAAGCATTTGGCTAATAACTTAAATCTTGCAAAAGGGAAATAACTCAATACACAAAAATTCATGTATAATAAAGTCAAAGAACTTGGATTCCTCAGATTACTTCCTTCTGAAAAAAGACATATTCCAATCAAATAAACAATTTTATTAAAGCAAGTTACAAGAGATTCAAAGATACTATTTTGAGTGAGGCATGCGGATTCCTCTCTTATCTTGACATAGGATGGTAGCAATAGCAAGGTACAACGGGAAACAAAATACAGCACAAGACAAGGTTCTAGTCCAAAAGTGTTTAGAGCTAACTACAGATTATGAAATAATTAGATTCCACTTTAAGTGAAGTCCGCCAATTAAGATTCAACTTATATAATAACAACAAATACCAGTTTAGAATTAAAGTCTGAAGTATAAGAAAATCACATATGAACTTACAGAGAATTAATTTGGTGATTCTGTTTTGATGTCTCCTACCAAATCAATCAAAGGCAAGAGCCACACTTTCCCATAAAGAATAAAAGTAAGAAAATAAACCTCACCGAACAAATTAAAGACAAACTGCTCCTAAATTTTACTGTTTGGATGCTGAGAAATAGTAAGAAACCAAGGAAAAACAAATGGACTAAAGACACTAGACTAGACTTTCTAGTAATTGAAGCGAGGAAGGGAATGCTTGAGGTCCGTAATTTGTCGTCACACATTTGCAATTAAAATAATGAAAAGAAAAGAACTTACTTATCTTTTCGTTAATCAAATTCAGCGAATGACACAAAGACTCTGAACCTAGACGGATTGGAGTAGAAGATTGGGGAATTTGACGTAGGAAAATGAAAAGGTTTAGGAAAATAAGGAGTTAAGTCGAAATTGGATTAAACGATCAACGAAAAGTGTCTAGATCGGGCGGTGGCGTTTTCAGGGCTTTGAGTACCGGCGGAGTCAAAACTTGAAATAGGAAGGGGAAGCAAGGTGGCCACAGGGAGAGACTTAGGAACCGTTTGCCATAGCGGTTTTAAGGCAGTGATGAGTGGTTTTGTTTAAGTCGTTAAGTATAAGTGTTTATAGTAAATTTATACATTTTTAAATCCTTACAAATAAGGTATTTCATAAAATTTTTTATTTAATGGTTTGTAACTAGTGGATAATAATTAAGATCAAAACTATTAATGAATTAAAAAAGTTAGTTTAAGTAGTTTTTTATACCAAATTATTAGTGGATTAAAATTTTTTAATTTTATTGATAAATTTATTCATTTTAATTTTTTAATTTTTTATCATAATTTTTAATTAATATTTACCTAATAAATCTTAATTTTATTTTTTTACATTTAATAATATTAATTGATTATAATA